TGGCACTATTAAAGTTGAGGCAGGAGTATCGAGGAGAGTGCAAGGACAGCCTGGGCTACGCACTGAGTTCATGTCCAGGCTGCACTACATAGCTGGTCCTTGTTTCCAAAAAAAGCAAAAGTCCTAGGAAGAAAATGTTGAGACTGTCCTGTAGCAAGGGAGTGAGGGCCCAGGGCATCACAGTCCTTGCCAGGAGCCCTGCTGTCTGGTGGAAGTAGAGGCTGGTCGGCACCAGGCTGGAGCAGCTTTCCCCAGCTGTTCCTACTCTGTGGTGTTAAATGCACTGAACTTGGCCCAGGGTGCCTCCACACGCGTGTCCTTGTGCTGCGACAGCCCAGAGCCAGCTTAGCCCAGAGACCAACTGAAGCCCAGGTTAGGAACTTCAGTTCAGCACAAGCGCCAGCCATGTCCACTCCATGCTTTTCTGAGACAGGGTCTTGCTTTGTAGTTCAGGCTGGCCTTAAACTCACAATGTATCCCAGGCTGGCCTCAAACTCAAGGTGATCCTCCTGCCTCAGCCTCCCAAGTACTAGAATTACAAGCTTGTGCCACCACACCCAGCACTTCTCAAATGTTTTCAGAGTTGTAAGTCTTTGATCAGCAGCTTGGGTTTCAACCACAGACCAGGAGCACCAGGTGAAGCTGAGAGCAGCAGAAGGGAGATGTTCTCCTAAGCAGGTGAGCAGAGGTTTGCCCTCCCTAGGCTGGGGAACTCACAGAGCTAGGATGTCCACATCACCACGGTCACCATTCTGGGCTCTAAGCTGCCCCCAAGTTCTGCCCTGTGGCTCACTGCATCTCACTGTGGATCACTGCATTGGAGCCTATAGCCCCAAGGTGAGGGCCACTTCCCTGTGTCACAGGCAGTTTCATTTGACTTGGGTCAGACACCACACTGGGCTCCCCATGGCCTGGCCTTTGTGACCCTGGGAATCCCCCCAGCTTCATCCTGGCCCTAGCCAGGGGCCTGAACAAGTCCCACCTGCTCCTTTCCATGAGAACCCTGGGCTTCACAGGAGATGCCACCCTCAGCCATCTGAGGCAGCCCCTCCCTCTCACAGCACAGTGTTGCCATGGTGACAAAAACCACTCACACAGGGGCTCAAAAAGAGCAAGCAGCTCTCCACAGCTGCCTGGGGCAGCACGGGGCCTCCCCAAGCCCCCCTGCCAGCTCCACAGGAGTCCAGCCTCCTGTCCCCACCCCAGCAGGGGGCACAGCTGCCTGAGACCTTGTACCTGAGATTCTGCCACCATACCTGCCAGGAACTCTTGTCAGATGTCCCAACAGTTCGGCTCCCCTGCCCTGTGTGACTTACACACTCAATGGCTGCCCACCTGGGGTGGGCATATGGGCTGTGGCCATGTGGGCATTGTGCTGCCTCCACCCCAGGCAGAGCCCCTTGCCTCTCCGTGCTACTCCTTGCCTCCTGCGGACTGTTAGCAGCTGCTGCCTTGCAGGGCTGTGCAGGTTGTGTGCTTGAATGTGAGCAACCAGGAAAGGGGGAGAAGAGCAGAGGTATGGGCAGCAAGTGAGAGGGGTGAGGGGCAGAAGAGCCTGTGCCACAGACCCGAGACCCGGCGCAAAGGTGAAGAGGCAGAATTAGAGCGGCCCTTCCTCCTCATACTGGAAATCCCTTGGCATATCCACTCCATGCTTTTCTGATTCCAGCCATGCAGAGCTTTTCTATCCTTCCCTATCTCTGCAAAGTCCCTGGCAGAATTATTTTTAGAGTCTTTCTTACCATGTCAGGTGAGGGAGATAAATATCTAATGAGATAAGGTAAATGGCATGCACAAATTGTCCCTTGCCTGTGCATTCCCAAAGGGGACACCAGCACTCCATGTAGCCGTGGGGGACATTGAAGCCAGCCTTGAGCCCCAAGGCCCTACTGAGCGGGTGCTAGACACACACATGTCAGTCACCTCTGAGAGGAGGGTGCTTTGAGACTCTCTGGGTTGATGCTAATGGAGCTAAGGGGACCCAGAGACACAGGGAACAGACACGGAGGGTCCTTGGGGCAGGAAACATGGAGGAAACAAGGAAGTGAGGAAAGTGGACAGGATGAGGTGCCCATGTACAAGTGATTAAGAAAGGGGCTTCAGGGCCAGGGATATAGCTCAGCGGCACAAGCGCCTGCCTGGCACGTGCTAGGTCCTGAGCTCGATTCCCAGCACCAAAAAGAAAAAAAGGGGAGCTTCAGAGGCTGTGATATCTCCCTTTGGGGTTCCTGAAGGGAAAGAGTGAGGCCCTGACCCACTCACACATGCTGCCTCCTTCTGAGTGCTAAGCACTAGGGAACAAAGAAGCTAACACCTGCCTCACCTAACCCATGAGAGACCACTCACCGCCACTGAGCAACGGTCCTTCTCTGCCACCCTGGAGAGAAGGGTCAGGCTCTTCTCCAAAAGGGAGTCCCGCCCTCTGCCACATGGAGTCCTCATCTGCCCCAAAGGCCCTCTCTCAGTACAGGCATCAGTGCCATGCCAAAATGTCACTCCCGCCTCCCACCCCAGCTCCTGGATGCTCTTCTGATAGCGTCACCCCCAGTTCCTTGGGGACAGCAGTGTACAGTTCTGGATCTGACTCACTTTGGTGTTCTGAGACCAATATGGGAATTGGGGATACAGAGTAGGGGCTTGGAGCTCAGAGAGGGCCACACAGTACCCCTCCCTCCAGGACAGCCGGGCCTGCAGCCTCCCCGCAGCACAGTACTAAACTTAGTACTAAAGTTTAGTACCAGCACTAAACTTGCCCAAGATGCCCCCACCAACCTCAGAGCAGGAGCAGCATGGATGGTTGGGTATGCCTTGTATCCACAGCCAGCACCAAACTCTGAGCCAAAGCTGCTGCTGCCAGAGTGAGCCATATGACCCAGGCAGACACTCCAGTATCCACAGAGCCACCCATTGGAGCTACCAACCAAGCTGGGCAGAGCAGGCAAGGTGGGTCCCAAAGCACATGGTCCGTGAACAGAGAGCCAAGGATCATGGGCATGGCCCAGGGAGGACTGGGAGGGAAGTCAAGCCCCAGGGTCAGGGGCCCTGCAGGATGGGTGCTATAAAGAGGTCTCTGGGAGCCACTCTTGTTGAAGAGTAGCATGAGCAGGAGCAGCATGGATGATCAGGTATGCCTTGTGTCCACAGCCAGCACCAAGCTCTGAAGAGTAGCCATCAGCCTTCAACTCTGGCCTTGGGGTCTCAGAGGATGATTCCATACCCTAAGGACACAGCCTCAACTCCAGGGGGCTGGGAGGAGGCCTGGGCTCCTCTGAGACCCCTCAAGAGGGTGCTGGGCCAGGGAGTATGGGTCATTCCTATGTTAGGCTGGGGGCAGTACTGAGGGTACCAAATGTCACCATCAAGGTATTGGGGCATGCATCTTGTCCCCACTCAGGGGCCACCCACCCTGTCCTGGCCGTGTACCAACTTCTATGTGCACTGGCTCAGACTCAGCAGCTTCCCTGGGTGGAGCAGAGGAAACCCTGCAGGACAGTGCACCCCTAGAATGACACACCACTGCCCCCTAGAGATGTTGAGAATCAACGACATCAAGTCGAATTTTAGCCAATTAACTATCCCTCCTGATTCCCACAAGCCCTGGCCTCAGCCTGGGCTGTCACCTAGGCCAAGGGAAGCTGCGCTCAGAGGGCGGCAGCTCTGCCAGGCCTGAGCTGGGGGGCAGAAGGTGGAGGTCCTCTGCTTCCTGACAGAGACTTGAGGCCCCAAATTAAAAGGCCCTGTGGGAAGCAGCTAGAGCCTGGAGAGGGATCGGCCAGCCAGGAGCAGCCACTAGAGGTGACGAGCCTGGAAAGTGACCTTGGCTGCTGGAACTGCCAACAGAACGAGGCAGCAGGATAGCAAAGAACAGTCCAAGAGGAACTGAAGAAGGACAGTGGACAATGGCTGAGGCATTGATGGATAAGTGTCATCCCAGCCAGCCACAGTCCTCTGGCAGTCCTATTAGACACACTGTGAGGCCAGACAGTGGGCTGCTTCCAGAGCCAGGGAAGGAAGAGCTGGCACTCAAAGCTCTGCTTCGGGTGGCCCCAGAGAATGTCCCGCCCAACCTGTGACAGTGAAGGGAACTGAGGCTTAGGCAAGCTAAGGGGCTGACCCAAACCATAAAACATGGGAACTGCCATGGGCTGACATCAACCCAGCCTCCAATCCACCCCCTGCTCTGATCCCCAAGTAGCTCTCTGCTCACCCTATTTACCCTGGGGGACAGTGGTAGGGCAGAGGCCTTGCCCAGCAGGAGGCTAATGAAGGCAGGCTGCCGTTGTTCACAAAAGGTTCACCTTCTCTTCTTCCCAGTCAACTCCTACCCAGAGCACAGGGTGGCCTAGGGGAGCTCCCTGGAACAGGGGTACCATGGCAGGGCTGGGATTACAACAGCAGGGGCAATGCCAAGGGAGGACAAGGTGTGAAATGGGTGGCTGGGGAAGGCGCTTCTGGGGAGGTAACATTTGAGCAGAAACTGAATGAGGATGGGGACAGCCATGTAAACACCGCAGGAACAACATTCTAGGTAGAGGGAACAGCAGGGAGCCAGAACCCTGGCCCAGCAAGCATGCTGAGAGGAAGGCAGCAGGCAGAGAGCAGGTACAGCAGCAGGGGCATTGCCTATGTGCTGATGGATGGCACTCCAGAGTCTCAGGGCCTGGGGCTATAGCTTAGTGGCACAAGCGCCTGCCTGGCAAGTGCAAGGTCCTGAGTCCGATCCCCGGTACCATAAAAAAAAAAAAAAAAAGAGTTACAGGGTCTCTGCTGAAATCACATCAAACGCATTTAGCACCACATTCCTGAAATACCCCATTTGCTTTCCCCAAGACTCTTGCCAAGCCAAGAGGAAACTATAAGGGGACAGATACTGGACTGTCCTGATAAGTAGTATCTCAGGGACACTGGGAACTGGGCAAGCCAGTGTTATCTGTCCTAACTGCCTTCCTGCCATATGCTAAGTCAGCCAGTTCCCTAAAATGCTGGTCACACAATAGAACAAAGCCAGCCAAGGATGTCTCCACTTTGGAGTTGAATCTACAAGCCCCTCCCTAGCTGCTAACAGCAGCGAGTGAGACACAGCACAGTAGGGTGCTGTCATTCAGCAGCTCTCAGTATTTGCTCCTGAGCACTTGCCGGCTTGTCACCCTGGGACCTCCCCCGAAGTGCTGCTGTTGAGTATACACACCTCAGGAGTTTTCAGAGCAGCGCTGTTATGGAGCACGCACCCTTGTGTACCTTCTGAATAGTGCTGTTGGACCCCTACTCACTTCTGCACTTCTTTCCGTGCTTCCGTGGACCCTTCCCTATTAGTAAGTATCCACTAACTCATCCTCCCTTTAGTGCCTGCTAAGCCTCATCTCTCTCGAGCCATCTCCCTCTCAACAACCTTCTCCCTCTCTCCAGCATACCTAGCTGTGGATGACACAAGAGTGAGATCCTCTGAAGGGGAGAATGCCTGGTCCCTGGTGGGCAAATGGGGTCTGGGGTCCTAGCCCCTGTGGTGATGCAGCCAGAGTTCCCAGGGGAGGGGACAGTTGGGGCCATTGGGCACTAACCCAGCCCAGGCTTCTGAGCCACAATGTGGGGCTGAGGCAGGGAGGCCCAGGAGCCAGGAAGCCAGGATAGGGCCAGGTGGCTCCTGAGGCCGGTGCCTACCTTCCGCAGAGTCTATCAGGCCCCAGGAACAGCACAGGTGGACAGGACGCCCTGAGCTATACACAATGACTTCGCCTTCCCCTCTACCCCCAGAGGGAAACAGTGTCCCTGGCCAGGCGCCTGAAGCTGGGGACCAATGTGAGACCCATTGTTTGAGACTGGAGCTGGCAGGGGCCACGGGAAGCCCCAAGCAATGCCTTTCGTCCTACTGACGCAGATCCAGAACACAGTGAGGACCGCACACAGGGACAGCAGTGTCCTGCAAGATGAAGGCACTTGGAGCTGTGGTCCTGGCCCTGCTACTGTGTGGGCAGCCAGGTGCAGGGGTGCATGGTGACCCTCTGGTGGGAGGTGGTGCAGTCCTAGCCTACGGGGACCTCCAGGGACCCCCAACCTGGGACAAGAGATGGCCTTAGGAAGGACAGGATGGGAAATGGGAGCCTGGGAAGGAGAGTCCTGACTAGGCAGATGGGGGCTCCTTACCATCTCTTCCATGTTGGGCTGGCCCTCTGCCTCTTTCACTGTACCTGGGGCTGGATTCCCCAGACCTGGGGAGATAGATGAGGCTGTCCTGGGCTCCCAGCATCACTATGGTCCCAGCCTTAGGCTTGGCCTTTCCAACACTGCAGGGCTTTTGGGATCCCTGCCTTCTCCTGGCTTCCTCCTTCTGTGAAATGGGCAGGCCTTAATGTCAAAGATAGACATAGGAGTTTGGGGCTTGGCACCTGGCACTGAGTGTGTGCCCTCTGAACCTCAGTAGCTGAAATTTATGTGTCCCTGTATGGCCAGGCAGCAGTCAGGCACAGGAAGAGGAGGAGGATGACAGGAGTCCGGACAGCTACGGCTATGATGATGATGATGAGGAAGAAGAGACCCACAGCAGAGATAGAGGTACCCATCCACCCATCCCCAGGCTGCTGGGCTTCCTGCTCTGCTCCGGCAAGGATGAAGCAGATCTGCTGGTACCCAGACCATGTGACCTGCCCCACACCCCTTGCCCTCACCCTGCTGGCTCTCCCCTAGCTTCCCTTGGCATTAGCCTGCTCCCCACCTGCATGGTATTGCCTTAGGTCCTCATCTGCAAGGCTTGGTCAGACTTCCTTCTGGATCTTCACTGCCCACCTTAGGCAGGGCCACCGAGTAAGTGACAAGAAATGAGCAGAAAGTTTCCCCTGTAGCCTTGTCCTATTTCCTCCAAAAGCCCCCAGTGTAGATTCCTGCAGGGCAGGGTTTGAGGATGTCTAACAAGGCAGGCAAACAGGGACCTGGGAAGGCAGGCGCTGAGGGTCTCCTCAGCCTGATCCCGGCCTGAGCCTGGCCTCACCCACAGCACTGCCGTGCTATCACTGCCCTTTGCTACACCACGGGGACAGATGCGACCAGATACAGAACTGCTCCAGCAGTCAGGACTCCTGCGTCATGCTTGTTAGCCATAGCAACACAGGTAAGTGGATACGGCCTGGCACACATGCGCCCAGAGGCTGCCTCTGTGCCCCAACCCATCTCAGCACCTGTCCCCACCTCCCCGCCCCCAGATTCTGGTTCCCTGACCACCTACTCCATGTGGTGCACGGACTCCTGCCAACCCGTCATCAAAACCGTGGAGGGGACCCAGATGACCGAAACCTGCTGCCAATCCCCCATGTGCAACGTCCCACCCTGGCAGCACCCTCAAGTCGAGGACCTGCTGAATGGCAAAACAGGCAGTCCCCAGGACGACAGAGCCAGTCATCCCCAGGCCGGTGGGTCACATGCCCCCCCAAGCTGTCCCCAAAATGTGGGCACAGCCCTCCTATTCAGCCTCTTCACTAGCCTTTGGGTAGTGGGGACCTAAAGACACCTCCCTGCCCCTGCTCACACCTGGCCAGGCCAGCACTCTGTCCAGTTCTTCCCCTTACCCCTGTCACCAGCTTCAGAGAATAAATTTAGAGTGCCTTTCATGATCCATCCAACTCTGGACCTATTTGGGTCTGGGCCTTGGGCACCTGTATCCCTAGGACGCATGGTATCCACCAGCTCAGCGTCAGGCAGAGACAACACTGCATGCCTGGGGTACACCATCCTCACCTTTAACTTCCCAGCATGAAATTCCTCCGAACCCAGCTGTCATTTAGGTCAAGTGGAAGCCAGTGTTGGACAAAGTTCTTCCCCCACCTGTCTGGAGGGACAAGAATTTGGAAGTATTGTTGTTGTTGTCTTAAATAGTCTAACTAGGTTTCCCAGGCTGGGGCTCAAACTTGTAATCCTCCAGGCTCGGCCTGAGCAGCTGGGATCACAGACTGCGCCGCTGTGCCCAGCCTGGGAAGAAGCTTTGGGGTGGAAAGAGGCCCCAGGAGGCTACAGGGGCAGGTGCAGCAAGGGGAAAGCAGGAGGTACTGAGGAACAAGGGGAGAAAGGAAAGGAGGGAGGTAATCCTGTAGCCTCATTCCGTCCTCTGAACTCCACCCTTCTCCTCCCTGGCGGCATGGGAGAGGAGGCTGGAAGTGTGACAGTCAACTCTGTACTGGGGAGGGACAAAAAGGGCCTGTGGCTCTTGAGGTGGGAACCTGGATAGCAGAGCCCTGCCTAGGCAGATGGGGGCTCCTTAGCATCTCTTCTGTTGGGCTGGCCCACTGGCTGCTGGGCACTCTGCCTTCTGCACTGTACCAAGTTCTGCTTCACCAGCAGCTGGTGAATGGACAGAGCCCTGGGGTGAAAGGAAGACAACCTCAGCCACTAACCCAGCCTCAGTTTCCCTATTTGAACAGTAAGGACAGAGGTTTAAAGGACTCCTAGATTCCCACGAGCTCAACTTTGTCGGCTTTGGAAGTCCAAAGCCCTTTCCTGCCTGCCAACCCCATTCTATCATGCAGTGTGAGGCCTCCACTTGTCCACTCTCTCCACTTCCTTATCAAGAAAGTCTTGGGGCCTAGATGGAGGTAGGGAGTAAAGTCCCTGGGTGCAGGTGGCATCTTTTTCTCCTCCCTGTGAAAGGGAGCTGAAAGGTGTAAAGCTGCCCTTTACACCATGACGCATCGCGCTGAGCGTAAGGCAACATGGAGGAAGGCACCTAACCACTGACGACCAGAAGGCATATACCAGCTCTGCACTGCCTATCTCAGGATCTGCTTACCTTGGAGGGAAATAAACTTCTGCCACGTTGAAGCCAATTATTTTGGTTTCTGCTGCCTGCATTTTTACGCATGCACACACTCTGTCTCACTCACACACACAGCCCGCTGATACACAGCTCAGACTGCCTGGGCTGGAATTTTAGGCCCGCCCTCAGCAGCTCCATGACCTCCAGGAATCCCTGCTCCTCCAGCTCAAGCTTCTTGCCAGCTTGGTGCAGATTTCAGAGGGGCCTCCAGCCCTGAGAGTGCTCAGTGCTTGTGGGCTGTCGCTGTCACAGGACCCTACTCTGAGTGCATGTTTGCGGGAATGCCCATCTGTGCTAGGTCCTTACAACCCAAGCGACCTCACTAGCCATGTCTGACTAGAAACTCTGTGCACTACTACCTGTGTTCACAAAATTGCTCCTCAGGAGGGCTGTCTTAAAGCCACATGCAGATCCAAGGGGACGGTTTCCCATGACCCTCAACTTCTGATCCTTTTGAGCTTCATGAGAGGGAACTAGGACTCAGGGCTCAGTCTGAAGTCACTGACTCCAGGACATGTCCTGACCTCTATTACAGTCTCTTCTCCCAGGGTCCCCACCCCATTCCCAGGGAAGGCAAATGCACAGCTGACCCCTCACTGGGCTCTGACCTGACTTCCCCTCCTGAAGGCAGAGAATAAGCAGACACGTTCTGAACACCCCAGTGCCACTGCCAGGAACTATCCCAAACACAGTCTAAGCTGCCCCACAGAGCTTGCTGTCCCAGCACCCAGAGGGTTTTTGCTATGCTGTCCAACATGGGCACAGTTGGGGCCCACCGACAAAGGAAAGAGACTATAGCTCCTCTGGGTCCCACACTGAGTGGCTGCAGCTCCAGGATCCAGGACCAGCTCTTCCTGCCAACCAAGGGTACCTCAGGCCTTGAAGCTGAGGCGCCAGGAGGCCTGAGCTGCTGCAGCAGAGGTGGGAGACTGGATGCTGGCCAAGGTCATTGAATTCCCACAGTGCAGGCCAAATGGGGCAGAGGTACCAGTGGATAGTGACAGCCAAGACAGCCTAGGTCCTGCATGAAAGCAGTATAGGACATGAGCTCCAGGAGGAGTAGCAGAACACCAGGTGCACTAACAAGGTTGTGTGGAGCCCACCGTTCCTCATTCAGCTGGGCAGCAGAGAACTGAGTGCAGCTGGACACCAGTCACAGGATTCATGTTGTACCTCGGCTCCCCGTGGCTCCTGTAACAAATTACCACAGACACAGCAATTACAAACAACGAACATGTGCCACAGTGCGAGAGGTCAGCATTATTATGGTTTGGGTTTTAAATGTCCCCCAAAAGCCTGGACCCAGCCTTTGGCATTATTGGGAAATGGAGGAATTTTTAAGAAACAGGGCCTAGGAGAAGAGCCCTTGAAAAACCTGGTGTCTGTCTGTCTGCCTACCTGTCTCTCCCTCCCTCCCTCCCTCCCTCTCTCCCGCTCTCCCTCTCTCCCCCATCTCCCTCTTCCTCTCCCTCTCCCTCTCCCTCCCTCTCTCTCCTGTTTCCTGGCCTCCACAAGGAAAGCAGACATCCGCTACACACTTCCACCAAGAGGTGCTGCCTTGCCACAGGCTAAAGGCAACGGGACCAAGTGGCCATCACCAGGAACCTCTGAAACCATGGACCAAAATAGCGCTTTCCTCCTTCTGAGTGGAATTAGCCTGTTAGGGAGGGAGACCTACTCATCCCTCCAGATAGAGCAAGTAGGACATGCAAAGATGGCCCTGCAATTGCCTGTGTCCTATGGAATCTGCCTGGCTAAAGCTCAGAGCTCTCCCTAATCAGGTCACTCACTGCAAAGTCATGGACATCAGAGGTCCTGAGGCCTAAAGGGTAGACTGCAGGTTGAGAAGAAGCCTGGTGCCCCATCTTGAGGGTTGGAAAAGACCCAGAGTGACCCTAAGGCTTCAGGATAGGGTCCACCAGGGCCGAAGAATACCTCCTCTGCTCCATCTGGCCCTCCTTTTTCTCTTCTATAAATCTAAGGTTTGCTAGGAGCTCACTAGAGGAGACCTGGCTGGCCCAGGAACATGGGGTGGGGCAGGGGTACAGCGATGTGGCCAGAACCAAGGCTTTGAGCCTAGTCACCATGACAGACACCCATCTGGGAACACAGCCTTTTCTCATGGGCCATGGCCAAGCTTCAGCTGGGGGACATGGTCAGATCCAAGCCCAGAATCCCAGGGCACCTCGGCTAGGGGACAAAGCCAAAGATACAAGAGCCCCTGCAATTCCGTCCTCCCTCTGTAGAGCACCACAGCACAGGTTGGGTGGGAGTCACAGCTTGCAGTGAGGTGCTGCCGGCCTCCTTTCCCACAGCCTCTGTTCCTCAGCTTCTACCCTGTTCTCTGTATAGTTGAGCATTTGGCCCATGTTAGTGTTCAGCAGCCATTGCCCATACTTCAGCTGCTCTGCTGAATCCAGGGCTCTCTCCAGGCCCAGTGCAGGAGATACTCTGCAACCCCCCGCTTTTCCCTGTGTATCCCTCTCTTGACTCAGCACAAAGGATCCCTGGTTTTCCTGGCTGATACGAAAACACCGGGCAAACCAGCCTAAAGCAGGACCAGAGCCTGTGCTCTCCAGCTCTTCCTTTTCCTGGGCAGCTTTGGGGCTCTCGAGGACCTGCCCTGTGCTGGTGCCTGAATCCTCACTCCAGCACTTTCACATACTTGTGTCAGGAGCTGAGTGGTGGTGGAGATTCCCTACCCTGCACCGTCACTGCCCCTGAGCACTTAGGCTTCAGGCTGCCATGATGGTGAGGTACCAAGGTGAGCTGGTGAAATACTGCCTTCCCTCCTCTCACCCCAGTGCTGCCAGTGCCAGGTTTGGGGGTCACACTGTGGGCTGAGACTTCTGCCTGCCAAAGGTCCTGGGAAAGGACACAGGGTTGTACTGGGCCAAGCAGAGCTCAGGGGCAAGGATGAGGTCAACAGAGACAACCCCTGACTTCCCAGAAGCTGGCCTGGTTGGCCCACAGGAGACTCAGAGGGGTATTGAAGGGCTGGCTTTTTGCAAAAAAAAAAAAAAAGTACATGTGCCCCACATCATGACTGAGGAATCCCCAGCCCTTCCTTCCGTCTGGAGACTGTGGCAGCCTCTATCCTCACACGCTCATTTAGCTAATGCACACACCGCCTCCTCTGGGGCCAGCCCCAGGACAGGGACCTGGCTGGAGAGATGCACTTTTTCTGGCAGAACCCCATTTGCTCAAGTATGGTGACAAGGAGGGACACATGTGTCCCACAAGCTTGTGGTACCTGGAAGGGGAAAGGTCCCAACCTGCAGACCAGTCTCTGGATGGTCGCCTGAGTACCAACCCAGAGGACACTCTTCCTTCCTCACTGGGGCCACCCTGATAAGCTGGTATAGTGAGAGGGGATGCCAGGCTCTAGAGAGTCAAAAAGGGGCCCAGTCCAGCAGGCAGACCCTCCTTGGGTCCCACTGTTCAGGTCCAGATGGACACACCCCCCACAGTTCCTGAGGGTTCCCCTCCCAGGTCAAGTGTGTCCTGTGTGTTCACACCATTCGACAGTCACCTCTCCTTCTCTTGCCTGACCCTGGCCCTGCTGAAAAGTGACAGGGCCCAGGGACTCGGCTTATCTGATACTTTTCTATGAATTTCCTGCCTCACAGGACAGGAAGCAGACATCCACAGTCCACCTCCTGCTCCTTACTCTGGACTGTGAGAACTTGCTGAGGAGCAGGTACTGTACCCAAAGCAGGAAATTCCTGAGGAAGGAGCCTCGTTATCAGTGCCCACCCAAGACCACAGAGTTTACAGAAGCCAGTAGACATGGGGACAGGCTGGTGCAGCTGAAGGCAGAGCAGGGCCACCTCTGCACCAAGTTCCCTGACACCAAGGGCCACTACAGGAACTTTCCAGGACTGAGATATCACCAGCTCAGTATTGTGGAAGACAGCACCTCCTCCATCTGACCTCAGGTGTGCATCACAGGACTCCCGCCCAGCAGACTGTGACAGGGTCCAAGACATGGGGGTCTGGCTGATTGAAAGGGAGCTTTATTTTGGGTATCAGGGGCTTCTCAAAGGCAGAGGCACCTGGGTAGTCACCTTGGTGTCTCAGGTGCTCACCCAAGAAAACTCTGACCACGTGACCAAAGCCTGGCCATGGTCCCAACTAGAGAATCCCTCAGGAAAGTCCACAGAGAAACAGGAAATACTCCAAAATAGAAAATTCTCTGCAAAAGACCCCATGGGGGGACACAAAGACAAACCAAAGTGGAAGGACACATGCAAACACATGGGACAAAGAATTCTGTCTACAATCCATCTACCACCCATCCCCAAACTCAACAGAAGTTCGGCAAGGCCAAAATAAAAAACAGTGGCCACATCAAATGGGGGTGAGGATGCAGAGAAAACCAGGTCATTTGTGCACTGCTGGTAGGGATACAAAAGGGTGCAACT